TAAAAGAACATATGGAATGAGGAATTTTGTTGAGGATGTGTTTGGAAAATACAATCTTCCATATGCATAAGAATATGGAAAAACTTATCTGGAATCTTTGGGGTTTGATATGTTTAAAAAGCCAGAATTTTTCACTTTTTAGAAAGGTAACCTGGTATGTGTTATGCTTTTTTGTGTAAAATCCCCCCTAGATCTGGGTAAGCAATGGCAATAAAAAATTGTAGTACTTTTCCAGGCCACAGCCAGCCATTCTAGGTAAATAAACATTACAAAGAGATTTATGTCTTTGCAGATCATGTTTTGCCACCAAATGAGTTTGCCACATATTTACAAAAAATAAAAAATATTTTCAGAGCTTTTGGGTTTCAGGTTTGTCAATAAGCAATTACACAATAAGTTACAATGTTTAGGGAAAGATTAGTGTCCTGGGAAGTTCTCATGGATATGTATCTTTAAAAGCTGTATTTATTTTTTATTTTTAAATTATTTTTTTAGGTCACACATTTTTCAAGGAGTAGCACCAGTTTTTAATTTTTGTATCTTGTCATGAGCTGAAAGCAGAATAGTAATTTAACATCTCAAGATTTCCAAGATTTGTGGGGAAAAAATTTCCAAAATTATGGTGACAATATCTATGAAGACTATCTTCTATCTAGAAATAATAAAGAGTATGAAAAAAAAAAAAAACTATGGTATTAGAGAAAAGTGAGGCTCCCCCACCAGCATCAATTTATCATGTCTTTTTGGCAACACAAAAACATTTTAGAGGAATCTCAAGAGCCATTTGTTGTTGGCAGGGCTGAGAGGTCACGGTTCCTATATTTTTTTAACATCTTTAAATGTTTACTACAAACATTTATTGAAGAGAATTTAATAATAGTTAAACTTTCAGATAAAATTTCAGATTTCCTCTAATGCCCCAGAGGCTTATTGCAATCTTCATCCTTAGCTTAAATTAGACATTGACTTTGATACCCAAACTTCTAGCATCTGGCCAAAACGTGTATTTTCTCACCTTTTAAACAGTTTAAATGTAAAACTGTACTCCTTTATTTAGAAAAATTCTCTTGACTACAAAAGCCAGACAAGAATGAGTTAAATATTACTTGATCTTTAATAATTTTCATTTTTGAAAAGCACAGTGTTATAGTACCTACTTTACACTATTTTTGTTTTTTAAAACAACTTTCCTTTAGATAATTAAAAAGATGACAGGATCATTTTAAGGCTTTAATTTTAAAGCCTGGAAACATTTTACATAGTTAATTCAACCTCACTTTATACATGAGGCAACCAAAGCAGAAAACAGCTAGCTGATTTGCCCAAGCAAGTTTCTATCATTGCTATAGAAATTTTCTTTTTTTCTCAATAAACTCATTTAAAGTAAACCAAATGAGCCTTTTAATATAAAAGATAGCAGAAGCTTTGTGCTTGACTTCCACACATTTTCACAAACAAAAAAAAGGAATTCCTTTTATAATTTTTCTTCAACTAAACCTTTTTTAACATCTTTTTTAATCAAATAATTATTAATAACATGCACAGTTTTCCTGATAAATAAGTGATTTCTCAGTTGATACTATTCACTCTGTTTAGGAACAAAGCTAAACTAAGAAAAAAGCAACTGAAAAAAAGCAGCTGAATAAAATATTCAGTATTTGAAGTTTAAACTGTATCAACAAAATAGCACTTAAAAGATTTTTAGGATTTTTTTTTTTTCCAAAATGAGTCTAAAGGGTTTGTGCAGTTTGGATCTGATATATAATTCAGCAAAGCATGAATAATAAACTGAACTGCAACATTTACTTTTTTTGAAATTTGATTGAGAAAATTCTTAATCATCATCACATTTAACACCCTTGGTTAATGTTTTTGTGGTGAACTCTACTTGATTTTCATTTTGACAAATTATCTAACATACCCACATTCAGAATTTATAATAATCTATCCAGTTCCCAGCCTTTTCTCCAAAAAGGCTCTACACTCTACATTTTTCTACAAAATATAAACTGTAAGTCATGTATGCACTTCCCTAAACTTCATTTCCTCCTTTTCCCCACTACTTCATTTCTCAGAAAGAGCAAATAAAATAAAGTAAAATAAAATTGATGTGACACTTTTAATATTAACCTCAGCTATGTCTGCAAGAATCTAGAGTGATGTGATTTTGTTTTGAGGTTTTCTTTTTCCTTTCAGAATGTGGAACATTAGTTCATGCCTCAATTTTATCCAGACTTCAACTTAAACACCCCTTTCTATTTTATATGTCTTATAGGACCCACAGAGTCTGAGAATGTGACAGAGGAGCCCTTTCATGTCTGGGAATGTGACAGGGAGTGTATTATATCTATTTTTAAATCTTCGAAATTCTTGTAGTGGCTGAAACCTGGAAACTAGACTTGAATTATCTCATTGTTGGACCTCACCTAACACCCAGTTACCCTTTCCCTCATGTTGTACACTTGGAGATGGTTCCTGCCATTTATGTGTTTCCTGCAATATCATCATAGGCCACCATTACTTCCACATTCATTCTCCAACCGCTCTCTACCACAACACTCTGACTAAATGATAACCTAGTGGCTGGAAAGCCTTAGGCTAGCTTACTGAAGGCCAAACCAATTCTGTTCTGTAAAGTAATTGAATGGTATACTTGTGAGTTTGAGTCGTTAAATAACGTGCATGGGACTGGAGACTAGCAACATCCAATAGGGCAGACAAACAGAGAGACTGGAGCTTCACACTCGGGGAGACGATTGGAGTCTTTGTCCCCCTAAATGACACTGATACATGAATGGGTCAACTGAATATGTTACAACCACTCCACTTCCAATGGGCTCTTCTTCTGAAAGTCAGTTTAAGTGAATATGTGTTTACTGAATACTTCCCACACAAAAGGCTCTGTGTTTATTAACTTTTCTCTATAGGGCTCTGTGATAGGCAATAGGAAGATAGAAAGAGAGGCCATGCATTCTCCTTCCCCGAAGGGCTCACCGTTTAATAGGGAAGATAGACACTATTATGAGAAAAGGGTTGCACTAGAAACATAGCCAGAAAAATGTGGGAACCCAGGAAAGGGACACAAATCCAGCCTGAAGATGAAAGTAAATACTCTCGGGAGAGAAATGCTTGGTGGATGGCAATGGGTAGATGACAGAAGGCAGGGAGAACTAAGAGGAGGTGCCTTTAGGCAAGGGAACAACACAGATGAAAGCTTTCAACAAAGCATAGTACTTTAAGAAACCACAAATTGTGTGGTGTTCTGAGAGCACATAAGAAGGTATGAGATGAGATAAGGCTGGGAGGATAATATCATGGAATCATATCACGAAGGGTTTTATATCACCCGTCCACAGAATGTGGCAATGAGGAGCCACTGAATCACTGAATGATGTCATTAGGGAACAGGAGAGATTTTCAGTTAAAAAAAATTAAAGGTCCATGTACCTATTCTATGTTCTAGTCTCTAGTCTCATACTGAGTTTTTTACCATTCATCAAAGTGATACTAGTATTTGAACCAGGGATCATTGCAATGATAATTTTCTAACCTCTAAACAAGATTCAACTTCTACTTCCCCTCCCCTCTGATTATCACTGATTAAATTTGGCAATATCCATGACTTCTTTTCTGCCTTCTATTTCTATTATTTTTCCTTTTTGTTTCTATAACCAATGTTACTCAGCATTACTGTGGTACCTTCTAGTGTTCAGAATTCTTTCACAAAGAGAAACAATTAGACATGTTCAGTGGTTGTGAAGGGAGGGAGTTTGGAAGTTTATTGTTGACTAAGCTTTGAAATGAGAAAGAAATAAAGAAGGAAAAAGAAAAACTAAGGAAATATACTCTACTGGGAAACCAAGGGGAGGGAGGGAGGGGAGGAGAGAGGGAAAGGGGCCTTCTTAATAAGCAATCTTTCTCACTCTCTCTCTTTCTTTTGAGAAGCCTTCAGAAATAGAATGATTCATTTCATATACACTTGATATTCCATAAATGTACATAATTATATTAGCAATGAAAACATAATGGAATGCATTGAACCAGGGCTAAGGCCTCCCAGGCTCAAATCCTACAAATCATTTAACAAAATACAAATGCAGAGCAGTCATGCAGTCAGGTCACCAGGTAAATAAGTTCCATCACTATCATCTCAAACTTTTTGACACATTTAAGCCTGAAAATGTCAATATTCTTCCATCCAAGGAATTTTTAGAAATGTTTTATTTCAAGAAGAGCCAAAGGAAAACCTCTTTGCATTTCAAATACCTTATTTAGGCATTGAGTACTAAGTGTTTTATTTAGAAAAAGGATTAATCATTCTGCAAGACTTATAAAATACTTATGAGAGGAAAAAAAAGACCTTTAAGTTGGAAAATTCCTCTCAAAGGAATTCTAAATGTCGCAAAGAACATACTGGACCAATTTTTTTTTTTTTTTTAAATTCCCTTTGCATCACAGTGTATAACTCACATCTGGGTTGCAAAAGGGAGGCTGAGACTGTTTACAGATCATCATTATCAGAGACAAAAATATGTAACTGTAATGAAGTGGGGCCCAGGGTAATGAAATGGCAAGCAGATCTCCCTGAAGGAAGTCCTTGAGTCAGTCGGCCTCCCATCCAAGCCAAAGAAATGGAGCCAGACCATGAAAGCATTTTTGTGTGGATGCATATCTCCCTCCTGCAGAGGCCTGCCTGCAAGAACACAGGCTTCCTGGTTGGTGCTTTCCCATCGTCTCTGCCCCCTTCTACTAGTATGTTTCTGGACCAACTTTATGAGGTTAGACAAGATAAATATTTTTCTGTTAACCTCCTTGTGACTGGAGAAAGTGTGCTACAATCCTTTCACTGAAATGAAGAATTTATAGCTTCCTACCAGTAGTTTAGGTTTATGTTCAGGGCCTCGAGGCAAGATTTCTGAGACAGCTTCACTGCCCCCACAGCCTGTTCTCTCTACATATCCTCGTCCTGGCTTTCCTTACAACCCAGTCCTGCCTAACAGAAAGTCCTTCCAATCCCAGCGCCTGGGAAAACCATGGCCAGACTAGGAGGTTGCGGGAGGCCCCTCTGTGGGACACCCTGGATAAATTAGAAGCAGAAAAGAAGAACAGGGGGGCAGGGAGAGGATGTAAAAGAATCCAAAGCATTGTTCCAAGCAGCTAAGCATCCTGTTCAGTTGCTTTAAATGCCCTCTTCCTCCCTCTAGACCCACAAGAGGAAGTATTGCATTAATTTTTCGCCTTTCCTTTTGAGCAAATGCTCTAGGGCTCAGCTGCCACAGATAGTAAAATAAATCAATGGCTAGAATCCTGCCAAAAGGCAGGCCCCGCTGCAGAGGGTGTTAGGAACAAGAACTGAGCACAACAGCCGTGTCACCTGCAGAGAAACTGCCTTCGCCTGTCGACCCCCAGCATTGAGTGAGGTGGGTCTACTACGCTTATATCTGTGGTTTCCACAACAGTATGATTCTGCTAATAGTTTTATCTGTCAAGAAAATACTGAACAAGACTTTCTGCTCAGTAAATGTGCTCCCCAATAAGGAATAAAACAAAGTCTTCTCAATGACCCTTCTACAAAATATCAAGAGTCCAGAGACAACTGTCCATGGACTAAGTAGCCAATCCAGTGATAAGCTCGGGGGTAACAGAAAAGACACCATCATTTGTTCTCCAAATGCAAAGAATCTCAGAATATTATAAAGGGTATCCAGTATTTCTTGGGAAAATAAAGTGTTAACAAAAAAATACTTAAATTCATGATGGGATTTTATTTACTTTTATATCTTCAGATAGATTTTTCTTTTTAATCTAGTGTTTATCCTTTGTCCTAGAATTATAACTTTACCCTATTAGTCAAACCCTAGATGTTTAAAAAAATTATTTTGGCCAATATTATACTTTTAGAAATTGTATCTCATTGAAGTTCTCATTTGCTCTTTTTTTTTTTTTTTTTGTATTAGCAGTGAGAGCTTGATATTTCTTTTCATATGTTTAAGAGCCATTTCTATTTCTTTTTCTCTCTGGTCACATTCTTTGTGCATTTTGTTGTTGTTGTTGTTTTCCTGTTATTTTTTAACTGATTTGTAAAAGCTGCTCATATAGCAAGGAAATTAACTAGTTGACGATCCTAAGAATTTAAAATACTTTTTTTCTGTCATTTTATTCGTTTTGACTTTTTATGGTATATTTGCCATACACAATCTTTTTTTCCAAAACCACTCCTCTTTCTAGAGCTACAAATGCATGTAGTATTTCTGGGTTGTAATTGTATGTTCATATCTGTTTCCTTAAAATGAATTTTTTTTAAAGATTTTATTTATTTATTTGAGAGAGAAAGAGTGAGAGACAGAGAGCATGAGAGGGAGGAGGATCAGAGGGAGAAGCAGACTCCCCGCTGAGCAAGGAGCCCGATGTGGGACTCGATCCCGGGACTCCAGGATCATAACCCAAGCTGAAGGCAGTCGCTTAACCAACTGAGCCACCCAGGCGCCCCTCCTTAAAATGAATTTGAAGGCAGGAACTATATTCACCTTTACAACCTCAACACAGCATCTGGTACATATTGGATGCTCAGTAAATATTTCAGTTATCGCCCAACAGAGATTTTGTCTATGTTGTTCACTGATGTATACTCAGCACCTAACCAGAGCTTGGCTCTAGTCCTCAAAATATATTTGCTGAACAAATAAGTAAATGAGTAACTCAAAATAGTTTTCCAGGAAAAACATTAACTTGTGTATTTTTTTTTATATCTTTAGAGAAGAAATTCAGAATTTTTTTACACAATGCAGTGTTATCAACTATAGTCACCATGTTTTACATTAGATCCTCAGACCTTATTTATATTATAGCTGTAAGTTTGTAGCCTTTTACCAACCTCTCCCTATTTCCCCCACCCCTGACTCCTAGCAACCACTTTTTTACTCTTTTTCTAAAAGTTTGACTTTTTTTTTTAAGATTCCATGTATAAGTGATACTGTGCAGTATTTGTCTTTGTCTTATTTCACTTAGCATAATACCTTCAAGGTCCATCTATGTTGTAGCAAATGACAGGATTTTTTTTCTCATAGCCGAATAATATTCATATTCATGTATATATGTATTCACGTCTTCTTTATCCATTCATCCATCTATGGACACTTAGGTTGCTTCCATATCTTGACTATTGTGAATAATGTCACAATAAAAATGGGAGTGTGGATATCTTTCTGATATTCTGTTTTTATTTCCTTTTGATATATATCCAGAAGTGGGATTGCTGGATCATGTACTAGTTCTATTTTTAATTTTTTGAAGAACCTCTATACCCTTTTCCCTAGTGGCTGAAGCAGTTTACATTCCCACCAACAGTGCACAAAGTTTCCACTTCCTCCACGTCCTTGCCAACACCTGTTATCTCTTGTTTTTTTTTTTAATATAGCCATTGTAACAGATATGAGGTGATATCTCCTTGTGGTTTTGACTTGCATTTTCCTGATGGTTAGTGATGTTGAGCACTTTTTCCAAGTACCTATTCGCAATTTGTATGTGTTCTTTGGGAAAATGTCTGTTCAGTTTCTCTTGTCTATTTTTTAATTGGATTGTTTGTTTTCTATTGAGTTGAATGAATTGTTTATATATTTTAGATATTAACCCTTTATCAAATATATGACTTGCAAGTATCTTCTCCCATTCCATAGGTTGTTTTTCCATTTTCTTGATGGTTTCCTTTGCTGTGCAGAAGCTGCCCTACACAATTTTTTAACATTTTTATGTAATTAAGTTGCATAAATTCAAGTGATAAATTGAACTTACCAATCCTTTTTATTTTTTTTATTTTTTTATTTTATTTTTTTAAAGATTTTTTATTTATTTATTTGAGACAGAGAGAATGAGAGACAGAGAGCATGAGAAGGAGGAGGGTCAGAGGGAGAAGCAGAGTCCCTGCCGAGCAGGGAGCCCAATGCGGGACTCGATCCCGGGACTCCAGGATCATGACCTGAGCCGAAGGCAGTCGCTTAACCAACTGAGCCACCCAGGCGCCCCGAACTTACCAATCCTTTTTAAAAATAGTTTCTGAATTTTACATCATGCTCAGAAATACTTCCCCATATTCCAATTGTTTTTATCATTTTCCAAACATTTAAATTTTGTATATATCAGTAATCTATTTTGGAGTGAACTGCAATTTTATAAGGAATTCAACTTTATATTTTTCCAGATGGTCACCCAGTTGTGGCAAAACGATATTTTCTTCACTGACATGAAATGCCATTTTCACTTTATGCAAAATATCCATGTGAGTACTCAGTCCAGTTCCACAGGTCTGTCTATCTGTTCAGAAGAAATCAATATTGTCTTATTCATTTATTTATCTAACTTTCCTGAGTGTTTACTATGTACCACACACTGTTCTGCTTTAGGCAGTAGAGATACAGCAGTGTAAAAAGATTTAAAAAATAACAATCATGAGAATGATGATAATAATTAAGAAAAGGAAGAAGAACAAAAGGAACAAGAAGATGAAAAAGGAAGGAAGAAAGGAGGGGGAAAAGCAGAAATAAAGAAAAAGAAAGGAAGAAAGGGAAACAAGCCCCCTTTCTCTTCTGGGTTTGACATTCTAGTGAATGGAGACAATAAAAAAATGAGTTAAAAAATGTAACATTAGATGGTGATAAGTGCTAAGAAGGGAAAGCAAAGCAGAAAAGGGGGAAGAGAGAGCTGGAGGTGTGGCAATTTTAGTATACTGGTTAGCAAAGGTTTCACTGACAACAGGACTGAGCAAACACTTAAAATAGATAAGGGAATGAGTCCTTTGATCTATGAGAGAAAAAAAACTCAACAGCATGTGATTGCATGTTTGAGTCACTGTAAGGTAAATAATGTGGCTGGAGCAGAATAAGCAAGCAGGGGAGTAGAAGGAACAGATACAAGAAGATAGAAGAATGTTGGGGACTGAATCGTGTAATGAAATGGGAAGTCTGCAGAGGGTTCTGAGCATAGGAATTTTATTATATGCTTTATGCCTTAAAACATTATGATGACAAAACTATTGAGAGTAATTGCATAGGTTTAAGGTATAGAAATTTGATAACAAGTTAATTGGTGAAGAACAATAGTAGCTTAGAGCTAAATGGTAGAGGTGAAGATGGAGAGAAGTGATAATATTATGGATATATTTTGAAGGTAAAATCAATAGAATTGGCTATTAAATTAGATGTTGGGTGTGAAATAAAGAGAAACCTGAAAGATAAGATTTTTGATCCAAAAACTGAGCAAATGGAATTGCTATTAGTAGATTGGGAAGAATATGGAAGAAACAGGCTTTGGGGAAGTATCAGGATTGCTACAAATTCTTGTGCATTCCACATCTGCACCACAGATGGACAAATTGAAATATTAAAAGCTAGGACCAATTACTATTTTGCTACAATGATTGTAATATTCATTAGGGCTGTTTACTCAAACATTCCACTTTTCTATCCAAGTATCTGGTGGTATTACACTTCCCCATCCAATTTAAAGTTAGGTGTAGCCAAGTAACTAGCAGTAGCCAATGAAACTGGTTACAAGGAACCTCCATCAACTGCAGCCTCCATCAATCCAAATTCCTTAACAACCACAAGGAACAATGCTCTTCTACTATCCTGTGTTGGACATGTAGCTGGAGCAAGAAATAAACTTTGTTGGGTTAAACCACCAAAATTTTAGGGATATTTGTTAACTATAGCATATTTTAGCAAGCGCTACCTAGCATATTCTTACTGACACAGAAATTAGAACTCAGTGTGAGATGAAGTCATGATCTATAACATAAACCATAAATACATAGCATTGCTTAGTAGTGAGGTGGTGGGTAACAAAAAACCTGTTACTGGCAACTGGAAGGATGATGATCAATACTATCTACTGATGATACTTTTGGTAAAAACTGTTCCCTAAAATAACTTGGAAAGAAGACTATATATATTAAGAACCTGTAGCTTAAGTGAAAGAGATCAGAAAATAATGTCACTATGGTGTGCTGGTTGCTTTTCGCTTCATTCAATAAGGTGTTATGAGAAAGAAAGAGTTTTCTAGCTTTAGGCAGAAGTAAAAGCAAATAAAATGGGATAACTAAATCCACAAATAAAAAGAGCTGCAAGAGGCTATGAATTCTCCTTTCTCAACTTATAAAAGAAAACCTTAAGGATACCTCAGAATGATAAAGGCCAATTAGAACTCATCAAGGATAAATTTAGGAGTATGAACTTCAAACTCATTGTTAAAGCCTCTAATTAGATTAAGGGAACGAGAAGAGCAAAGAACAACTAAAAGTTTAAGGCTCGTTTATTTCTTCCAACTAGAAAAAGGGCTTAGGGGGGAAAAAAGACCAACACCTGGTAGGTTCCTGATTAACTGAAGGTGGAGACAAGAGAACTTTAACAAAATGAACTGGTAGGTCTAAAAATGAATCATGTATGGCTATTGGCACATAAAACTGGATGGAATCTATAGATATGGTGCTTGCAATGTTTCAGCAGTTATACCACCAAAGAAATCACATATTTGAACTGAAAAAGGCCAGTGACTCTTTAATACTTAAAATGATCTTAAGCCTCTGACTATCACACTTATAAAGCAGATTGATAAAACTGCTCAGCATCAACGGCAGACAAATTTTCTGTGTTTGTTTCAGGTTAGATCAAAGAGTAATGGAAGAGGAAGAATCTTCTAGAGCAACAGATTCAAGAGCCATGGACCAGAGGACCAGAGACTCTCCCAGTGAGCAGAATCAGGGACTGATCAGGAACATTTATTACTGTCGAGATAGGCCCAGCTAGATTTCAGAATTGCTGTGGACCTGTAGCTGTTTTGTGTCTCCTACTCTTCTCTCTTTCTAAATGGAAATGTTTATTTGGGGGGAAGAAAAAAAAGGAAATGTTTATTTTGGTAGTCCTATCCTTCTTCCACCATTGTATAATGGGTGTGTGGGTGACTAATAATTTGCCTATTACATTCATAGAGCTTCAGACTAAGAGGAACCATATCTAGACCCAGTAAAAAGACTAAAATCCATCACTCAGAGATTCTGGACATGGGACTGAATGCAATATCTGGACGGAACTTTTGGGTAAAAGGTAACCAAACATATGGGGACAAGAAAAGTAAGTGATGACAGTCATTAGGGTTACTCACCTTAGCTAATAAAAACTGACTGGAAGTCAAAGAAGATTTCACTTGCAGGCGAAATCTCCAAGAGTGTGGGATTCCCCATTGATGCAAAGATCATCAACAAAATATTAGTAAAACAAATCCAACAATTCATTAAAAAACCATTCACCATCATCAATAGGATTTATTCCAGGAATGCAAGGTTAGTTCAATATTTGCAAATCAATCAACATGATACATCACATTAACAAGAGAAAGGATAAAAACCATATGATAATCTCAGTAGGGGCAGAAAAAGCATTTGACAAAGTACAACATCCATTCATGATAAAAACTCTCAACAAAGTAGATCTAGAGGGAACGTACCTCGATATAATAAAGGCTGTATATGAAAAACCCACGGCTGACAGCATACTCAATGGTGAAAAGCTGAAAGCTTTTTGCATAAGATCAGGAAGTAGACAAGTATGTCCACTCTCACCAGCTTTATTCAGCATAGTACTGGAAGTCCTAGCCAGAGCAATCAGACAGAAAAAGAAATAAAAGACATCCAAATTGGTAAGGAAGAAGTAAAACTTACTATTTGCAAATGACATGATACTATATATAGAAAACCCTAAAGACCCCCCAAAACAACCCTGCTAGAACTGATAAAAATGAATTCATTAAAGTTGCAGAATACAAAGTTAATATACAAAAATTGCAGAAAAAGAAATTAAGAAAGCAATCCCATTTATAATTGCACCCAGAATAATAAAATACCTAGGAACAAACTTATCCAAGGATATGAAAGACCTACACTCTGACAACTATAAAACACTGATGAAAGAAATTGAAGATGACACAAACAAATAGAAAGATATTCCATGCTCATGGATTGGGACAACCAATATTGTTAAAATGTCCATACTACCCAAAGCAATCTACATTTTTAATGCAATCCCTATCAAAATACCAACAGTGTTTTTCACAGAAGTAGAACAAATAATCTTAAAATTTGTATGGAACCACAAAAGACCCTGAATAACCAAAACAATCTTGAAAATGAAGAACAAAACTAAAGGTATCACAATACTAAATTTGAAGGTAGACTACAAAACTGTAGTAATCAAAATGGTATGGTACTGACATAAAATAGACACGTAGATTAATGGAACAGAATAGAGGGCCCAGAAACATACCCATGATTATATGGTCAATCAATATACAACAAAAGAGGCAAGAACATGCAATGGGAGAAAAGACAATCTCTTCAACAAATGGTGCTGGGAAAACTGGCAGCCACATGCGAAAGAATGAAACTGAATCACTGTCTAACACCATACACAAAAATAAACTGGAAGTGGATTAAAGACTTAAATTTGAGACCTGAAACCATAAAATTCCTAAAAGAAAAGAAAGTAATCTTTTTGGCCTCAGCTGTAGAAACATTTGTCTAGATATGTCTCCTCTGGCAAAGGAAAAAAAATAAGTATACTATTGGGACTACACCCTTCCCCACCAAAAAGCTTTTGCATAGTGAAGGAAAACCATCAACAGAACAAAAAGGCAGCCTACTGAATGGGAGAAGATATTTGCAAATGACATATCGAATAAGGGGGTAATATCCAAAATATAGAAAGAACTTATACAACTCTACACCAAAGCAACAAATAATCCAACTAAAAAAAAAAATGGGCAGAGGACACGAATAGACATTTTTCTTAAGAAGACATACAGATGGCCAATAGCCACATGAAAGGATGCTCATTGCTAATCATCAGGAAAATGCAAATCAAAATAACAATGAGATATCCCCTTATACTAGCTAGAATCAAAAACACAAGAAACAACAAGTATTGGTGAGGATGTGGGGAAAAAGGAACCCTCATGCACTGTTGGTCAAAATACAAATTAGCTCAGCCACTATGGAAAACAATATGGAGGTTCTTCAAAAAATTCAAAGTACAATTACAGTATGATCCAGTAATTCCTCTACTGAATATTTACCCAAAGAAAATGAAAACACTAACTTGAAAAGGTACATGTACCCTTTGTTTATTGCAGCATTATTTATAATAGCCAAGAAGTGGAAATAACCCAGATATCCATCCATAGATGCAGTCAAATGCTCTACCCCTGAGCTATACCCCCTATCCATCCATAGATGAATGGATAAAGAAGATGTGGTTTGTGTGTATGTGTATATAATGGAATATTACTCAGTCATCATAAAGAAGGAGATCTTGCCATTTGCAACAACATGGATGGATCTAGAGGGTATAATGTTAAGTGAAATAAGTCAGTCAGAAAAAGACAAATATCATGTGATTTTACTCATGTGTCAAATTTAAGAAGCAAAACAAATGAGCAAAGAAAAAAAGAGACAAACAAAAACCCAGACTCATAAATACAGAGAACAAACTGGTAGTTGCCAGAGGGGAGGTGGGTGGGGGGATGGGTGAAATAGGAGAAGGGGATTAAGAGTACACTTACTGTGATGAGCACTGAGTAATGCATAGAACTCTTGAATACATTGTACACCTGAAACTAATATAACACTGCATGTTTATTACACTTGAATAATAAAAAAAAGAATGTGGGATTCCCCACATTCCCTTGTTCTTCAATCTGTTGTTATGAAAGTATACGAGGGAGTGAGGAAGCATGGCACTTCCACATGCTGGGAAGGAGAATGGAAACACTTGTGAGCAGCTGTAATGACTGTCTTGGTCTCCTTTTCTGAGGGGAGGAGAATAATTATCCCTGAGGTATTCTAGTTTCAGCCCCTCACCCGACAAGCGAAAGAGAAATAAAAGAGCAGAGCCTGCCCACTCCGCATTCCAAATCTACTGGGAGAGAGGAGGAGCTAAGGTTTCAATAAGAAAGGAGATCAGAGTTTTAAAATAAACTCACTTTAAAACCATCAAAAGTGACCCTAATTTTAATCTGTCCAAGATACTATAAGGAGAAATTCATCTGAGCATGGTCCCAGTCAATGACTGGAGAGAAACAGAGTGGTGTCCTATTCATTTCCCACTGAGTACAGACTATTCAAGAAACCAGTTACAGCTATGACCCCAGTGGAGAGCTGTTGTGCCAAGATGAATGTGGACTCTGAAAAAGATGAACATGGGAAAAAGATGAACATGGGATATGATAGAACTGAGTTTGAAAGCAGGTACAGAATATTTTAAATCTAAGAAAGTATAGAGTGATACTCAAAAAGTTTAGAAAGGAAAAAACAAAGATGAGTACAGTCTTAAGATTTTGACCAAGACATGGACTTCTCTGTCATTACTAGAGAAATACCAAAAATAGACGAGCATAGAAATTGATTTTTAAAGTCTCTCTCTCAGACCCTGAATTTCCAAACAGGAAACCTGCCTAAATTAGAAACGTACACAGTGACCTAGATGCCAGTGTCCTGGGGTATGAAAATACTCATATGTCCCTATGCCTAAACACAACACCCAAAAGATCAGCTAATGTGTTGGAGCAGACAGTGGGGAAAGCAGTATCCCTTCTGATGCAAAAAGTAAGATATCAATAACTGAGTTTATTTTTGAAAATGGCATTCCCATCCATTAGTGGTTTAGTGGCTAGGAATGAATGTCTCGACTAATCAAAACAGACTTTTAGATGTGTTGAATACCAGAGATCAGAGCATGTCAGCTTTTTGGATAAACATCAGGAGGCTGGTTGAAAAGGCATCTGTGTAGATTCAGACTGTAACAATGGACTAATTGGAAGGGTTCTGGACAGAGTACATTATGTTCAGGGAATGTAGATGGTCCCTAAAACAACTTAAGCAGGGCAATTTTCCATGAGTTGCTTTGCTCTGAGATCAATCTGACTAAACTCTAACACTTCTCTGATCTTCTTTCAACAACTGATGCTAATAAAAGAGCAGTGATGGCTCATAGACAAGATTTGAAAAACAGGTGTCAAATGGATGATTTCCAGGGAACTGGCCTAGTCCCTAACCAGTTAGAATAGACAAGACATTCTCAGAGCTGCTGGAAGCTCAATCAGCTGCTTCGTCAGCTTTTGGGAAGCCTGGGGTAAACACCTTCCCTGAGGCCTTTTCCAAAACATACTGGCAAGATAAGACTGCTCTACCTTTTTAGTTTGATGCAATTTTGTTTATTTTAACTTTTGTTAGCCTTGCCTGAGGATACCAATTCCAAAAAATATTGCTAAAACCAATGTCAAAGAGCTTACTGCCTATGTTTTCTTCTGGGAGTTTTACATCAATTATATTTCAAAAAAATTTAAAAAGTGTGCTCATAACTACAAATGTTCAGGCCCATCAATCCACCTGCCACATAAATGATTGGGTAACAGGAAAAGGTAGAAGGCTTTGCAGGAGGAGGTCTGAGCCCACAGTGGGACTAAAGGCAACACTGCACAACCACAACAGGAGGATTCAGAGATACCCAAGAAGGTAGAGAAGTGTGACTGCCCATCTCTTAGCTTTCCTGTGGGCAAGGTGAACATTTTGGCGGGAGGCTACTCTCACGAATGTGAAGTCAAAGGCATGGGAATCACATAGAAACAAAAGCAGGCTTGATGGAATTTGAAAACCACAAACCAGTTAGGAAAAGAGATTGCCACGGTCCCAAAAGAAACTAGTCCCTGATCCAGTTAGGAAGGGAAAACTCCTGAAATCACCCCTGGTGACAGACTCAGAGTGGGAAAGGGATTGGAGGTGACTTGGCAGCCCCAGCCTCCCATGGGCACGGGAAAAGCCTTCAGAGCTCACAGCCTGGACCCCCCCTCTCCCAGGGACCTCAGTAAAAATAAAAAGAGGATTAAAACACGAAAATAGGACTTCCTTAGCCAGATTTTTGAGATTCTGAAGCAGAGAGGAAGTGAACAATGAGCTAGAAATTCTGGTTGGAAGACCAGTCTGGACTTGTTCAAAATTAAGTTCTGTGTGGCCTCCTTTAAGGCAAAGACAGCTTCTCACTGCCCGAAGAAGCTATAAATGCTATGATCAGTCAACCATGGAAAAATGAAGAGCACAGAAGGTCCTTGCCCAAGTTTTCTGAGCAGTTAACCTCCTGAAACTTCTGTCAAGGCCTCTGGAAGAATAGAACTCTCTAAGAAAAGCGGAGCTAAGGTTTAATTTCCCACCAGTAAAGCATGGAGCCTAGAATCCAGGTTCTATCGGAGTAATACAAAATATTAAATGGTGATTTTTCTCCATCTGAGCAAATTCATATCTAAATACATGTATTGACTAAATATGTCTCTAATCAAAGTCTTCTCCTGGATGCAAAAAATATTTTTTGTAATATTTGGAAAAGAGGGATAAAAAGAGACAAAATATCTGCATGACTTTACCACTAGAACTTCTGGCCATTACTGCCTAGTTGGTATATGACTTCAGTGAAAAGAGTCATTCTAATGGGTTGGATGGCATTCTGTACCTTTTGAAACAGTAGTAGAGTTGCTCAAAGTTTGGTATATAGTTACTCTTATTAAACCCAGTCCCATAATATAAATACCACCTATATATTCTGATGACTTCAAAATTCCTATTTCCATCCTAGACTCACTTCTAAGCTCTACACATCCAACTGCCTACTTGATGCCTTCACCCGATGTTCACAAATCAAACTTGATACGCACAAAACTCTCCTTCACTTGTGCTCTCCACCTCAGCCAATGCCACCTCCATCACCCAGTTGCTAAAGCAGCAATTCTAAGAATTCTAAGAGTGTCTGATCACTCATTCTTCTTATAAAGTAAGCATCATCGTCGTCATCATCATTATCCATTCCCAACTTCTATCAATTCTACACACAAAATAGATTTCAAACTCCTCATGTTTCACCGGTCTCTCTGCCTCGCCCTGGCCCTCGCCCCTATCATCCCTCCTCTGGACCACCACAATAGCCTCCTAATTTATCCCTCCTCTTCCTGTCCTGCTGCTCTCTATATTATACCTCCGTCCTCCAGTGAGCTGCTTTCACCCTCTTTACTTTCTCCCATAATTCTCTTCTCACTTCTTTTCCTCTAACTTATAACTGTAAACTACAGAAGCATCACATGCCCAGAGATTCCCGATCAGACTCTTGATCTCGACTAGATTCCCTCCCTGTTACCCTTACTTTTAAAGCCCAGTACTTTCCCTCCATAGCTTTTATCAAAGTTTATCTGTTTATTCATGTTATTTTTCCCATTATATCCTACCTTCTGTTTAATTCATTTCTGCATGATGTTAGCAAAGTGTTCCGTAAACATGTATTGCATAAATAAAATGCTCCTCCTCCTCTTAAAGATCACACTGGAATAATGCTGCAAGGGAATTTAAAAGCCATAGACTCCAATCCCTTCATTTTATGGTTCAGGAAATCAGCAGGCATCAGGTGCGTCACTCGAGGCCATGCAACAGACCAACCGGCAGAACCAGACTCTGATCCTTAGCCCTCGTTTTCCTACAATAATTCACTTAAGTGTAATAAATTTCAAACATTAACCAAGACTTATTCATTTTTTTCCATTCATAGTTAACTGAGTGCCTAGCATGTTAGCACTGGGCCACAACGAAGAACAAGATGGACACTGACCCCATGGAGCTTTTAGTTAATGGAAATGGGTTCCTGGAATGAAATATTAGAGATTCAACATTATTTATAATTCACTGATACTTCACAGGAATTTAAGAATAGTTTCTCAAGGGAAACAGTTTATTATTTTATTCTGATTGAATTCAGAAAAATATTTTTTCCTGAGTTTAGTAATATAATTCTACATGAAAGCAAGAGCATCTGAACATTAAAGAGCTTAAAACTGATGGATAATAGGAAGGGAAAAATGAAGGGGGGGAAATTGGAGGGGGAGACGAACCATGAGAAACTATGGACTCTGAGAAACAAACAGGGTTCTAGAGGGGAGGGGGGTGGGGGGATGAGTTAGCCTGGTGATGGGTATTAAAGAGGGCACGTCCTGAATGGAGCACTGGGTGTTATATGCAAACAATGAATCATGGAACACTACATCAAAAACTAATGATGTAATGTATGGTGATTAACATAACATTAAAAAAAAAAAACTGATGGCCAAGCTCATTTTTAAGTCTTTATCTTACAAAATCAATAAAACTTGTCAATAAAAAGGGGAAACATTGATCAATCACTTGAATGTTTTGTTCAATTCAGGTCTTTAGCATCACAATAAAAATTATTTAATATTCATCTGCACATTTTAATATTATTTAGACTTTCTTTCTTTTTCTTTCTTTCTTTCTTTCTTTCTTTCTTTCTTTCTTTCTTTCTTTCTTTCTTTCTTTCTTTCTTTCCTTCCTTCCTATTTCTTTTGGTAAGATCATCATGTTCACTCTTGGTCTTCTGCTTAGCTATCAACTATCAGGTTGCCAATTGAATTGCTCACAAATCTCTCTGGAAGATATTTTAAAATTTCCTTCTTGTTTATATGCTCTCTCACGTTCTGACATTTGCCTTTTCTTTAAAGAAAAAATTTTTAGACTTTGTAATACAACTCTTTTTGCAAGGAGATATTAGTAAGGAAATCACAATTGTAGATTTGTTTTTCACTCCTGTAAAAAAAGAAAAATATTTTTTAATTCCAAATTTTTAATGACTGCTGATTTAATTGAAAAGCAGATAGTTGTACCTTAGATGAATTTAAATAGGAACAAACTATGTATTGTGTTCTGTGAAGATTTTACATTTATACATATATTATGTATATATGTATATATATACACTATATACACTACATTATGTATATACACACATTGACTAATTGCACATCTAAAGACTTTTACTAGGAAGGGTTAGGTCTACAAATACCTAATTAAGGAAAATGTTTATGCACGAAAGCACTTTCTCTGAACTGAGTCCAGGGAGCTGAAGTGCATGATGCCAGAAATAGGCAGCACTGATGGGGAAGGGG